AAAAAAAAAAAAAAAAAAAAAAAAAAAAAAAAAAAAAAAAAAAAAAAAACTCAGTTCAACAAAACAGAACTTTACAGGGGCAGAGAGCACAAACGAGCTCCTTAAAAATATGTTTGTTCGAGAAGAATGACCGAGGCAGCTTTACATCTTTTTCCAATCTGGTTGTTTTTTTCGTTGTTTTGGAATAGCTTCTAGCCTACTAGGTAAATTCATTTGCAAAAGGGAAACAAAAGAAAAAAAGAAAGGCGGAGCATAATATTATATCATATATGAGCATGACAACCGAATCTCAAAACTTGAATGTCGAGTTTCCTCACAGAAAATTGATCCCACTGCCCTCTCTACTAGCTTCTTCTAACTTCCAAATCTTTTTAATCCAAAAAAAGGCAGTACTCCAGAAATTACAGCACCCTAGAACCTAGTACTGACTTACAGAGACTCGTGACAAGATCGAAGGAACTTTGACAAACGGGATTCGCAAAGAGTAGCTAGTAGTTAGAAGTTACAGATCCGTACATTGTGTCCGTACATCTGCGCCAAAGGACCTCCTCCGTGAAAGCGCAGATTGGAACCGGCGACCTTGGCCTGAAGAGCCAGGTCTTTTACAGTTATACACTACTAACCTACCGACTTACAGAGACTCTCGAGAAGATCGAGAAGGAAGTGTGGAATCACAAGCAAGCAGTACGTATGGATCTGTCCATTTGGCCCAAAGGACCTCCTCCGTGCAAGCACAGATTCCAACCAGCGACCATGGCCTGAAGAGCCAAGTCTTTTACACACTACAAACCTACTGCCTTACAGAGATTATCGACAAGATCGAGAAGGAAGTGTGACAAACTGAGATTCACAACCAGTCACCAGTACTTAACAGTAAGTTAACACACTTCACAAATGCCTCCCTCCCGAGTCCCAACACCTTTTCCGTCTTTCCTTCCTTCCTTTCCATTTGCGTGCCACCAAACTCTCGATTCCAACCCAAATGGAGAAAGCTTTGATTCGAACCCTTCCTTCGCTCCTTTCTTTGGGTAGAACTTAGAACGCGGTCGCTGCCAACCTTACTGTTTCCATCTGATTCCCGCAGGATTCGAATTCGTTATCTGTTGCATGTGTCATCCTGATGATGTGTGCACTGTGCACCACTCAGTCAGGCACATTGGATCGGCCCCCGATGCTCCTCTTCCTAATATCCACACTCTACTAGTACTTGCTCCGTATCCGTAAGTACGTGTCAAAACCTCCCACGGGCCACGGTAGTTGAAGCCTTAATGTCATCCTCCGAATTCACAGTAAAACGCCTACCATACCTTTCTCGGGGCCTTCTTCTCCTCCCCCCCCCCCCTTCTCTCTCTCTC